GTTTTACAAATTTATATTCATACTGTACTCCGGCTATGTATGAAATGGAACTTAAAATGGAACTTGAACAAGACATAATTAGAGACATAAAGTCAAACCTACATTCTGATTCAACATTCAGGGGAATAGCATCAGATGGTCATTGGTCACCTACACTATTAGTCTTTATATTGCCTGTCAGATTTGTTTAAGTTGCTGTTGATCATTATTTCTTGTGTGTGTTGTACACTAACTTGTCCCCAAATCACCCCATACCACAGGTGACTATGTCCTTCCCCAAGACGTCTCAGCTACCAGGTGCCTCGACCAAGCTGACAGTCAAGGCTTCTCCTGGATCCCTGTGTTCTGTTGGTGTTGTTGACAAGAGTGTGCACCTTATGAGATCCAGCAACCAGCTTACTCAGGGCAAGGTACCTGCAGTCAGATTTTTTTATGAATTGATGAAAGGTTTATTTGTCAAAAACACATGGCAGCCATGGGCTGAATTGCGTGTTTCACAACAATGACAGATTTAAAAATTCACTTAAAAGTACACGCTTAACCACATTAAACGTAATTAAAAGGAAGTGATTCTTAAAACCTACAGTCGGATATTTACTCCATTCTATGATCATGCGTATTGTTTTTGCTATCAGTGGTACTGCTTGTTTAAAAGGTGGGTCATATGGACGATCGGACTGTTCTGAAATCATTTTGTTCTTGTTCTGAGGGTTTCCAGTAGATGTCTCCGCTGATATATCCTAGGGGCAAATCCAATGAGTCAATGTCAGCCTTTACCTCATTTAATTTTGTTAACTCCATTTGTTGTAGTCTGTTCATGAGTGGGCTGATTATGCGATTTGGAAACCTCATCTTCAGCTGTCAAAACAAGGTGTGTAATATATAGAATCATGACAAATAGTGCGTACATTTTTTCATTTACAGATTTTTGCAGAGCTGAATGGTTTGGACCTGTCGGAAGAAGGTGGCTATGTGGACATGAACACTCACTGTGACCGGGACGGCCCAGCCATTGACCCCATTCCTCGCCCCCCTCTTCCCCCTCCTCCTCCCCCTCCACCAGTGGAGATAGAAGAGGAGGAGGTTTCATTTGCTGATTCAGACAGGTATATCTGCTGGAAATCACTCATACTTATCACTGGTATTTTCTAAGATTGTCAACGTAATGGCTGCCAGAGCATTTCCCAGGCCTGAACCCTCCTTATATTAGCCAGTGATCTTTTTTCATCTCTTTCATGCTTATTCCCTCCACCAAACATAGGATTTCTGCCAACTTCCAAGATCTTGAACTAGGTTAGCCCATGAGCCATTCTTGCCTGATGTTCCAAAATCTAGGTTTTCTTTAGATTTATACAAAATTTGGAATGGGTTTGGGTATACAATTTTTCCCCTCCCTGGTCCAAAATACATCTGAACTTCTCATGACCACATGAACCTAATGCCATTTGAACCACCAGGAATTATTAATTGAACCACTGTTACCTATGTTAATATATTGATTGCATTGTTCCTGCTTTTCTATTTTTCTGGAGATGAAAAATGTAATTGTGTTGATATTGCAGTGATGACTCTGAAGATGTGGAGGACAAAGACATGGGTGAGGAGAGTGAAGACATGGGTGAGGAGAGTGAAGACATGGGTGAGGAGAGTGAAGACATGGGTGAGGAGAGTGAAGACATGGGTGAGGAGAGTGAAGACATGGGTGAGGAGAGTGAAGACATGGGTGAGGAGAAGGAAGAAGAAATGAGTAGAGAAGATGGTGTCGAGGAAGTGGCTGACAGGGAAGATGAAGAGGAGAGAAGCATCAAGAAACGCTCTTATTTCCCTGGATTTGGTTCTTCATCTTTTGAGGATGCCTACACTGCTTTTAAGGTAAAAAATCTCTTTGTCATGATATTGCAGACTGGGTCAAATCAGTCAAATAGACAAGCTAGCTGATTCAACTTACGGTTTGTTCTTCATTCTTGTCCCGAATAATGCGCAGAAGACTTCATGCATCTATTTTACTTAATTTATTTATATCTTCATAATAATTGTTAAAAGAGGGGAAATCTGTTCATCCATCCTTCCATACGCCAGTTCCTATATCCATAGCCTGGGTGCTACAATAAATTTCAAGACCTCTGAATATTGTTTTTTGCTTTTGGAGTTGATGATGGTAGTAGCAGAACCATGCAAATAAGCAGCATGAAGTGCCTACTGGTAGTAGATGCATTGTAAGTCAAGTCATTAAAGGCTTTTCCAGATGCTATTACCAAGGACACGTCTATTAGAAACCGATCACCACATTTTCCTCCATAAGAAACAGATCACCACATTTTGCTCCAGGATTAAAATACTAGTATGCTCTGAAAGGTTATCTTGTGCTTATTTTAACCGATTTTGATGGAAGCAAGCCCAGTACAAATGTTTTTGGCACATCAATAATCTTATCTTTGCTGGTTTTTGCTTATATTACATTTTTTTGTAAATGATTTTTAACAACCAGAACATATGTGCTGAAATTTTACTGCCATATGGGACATCCATCCATTCTCTTCTTTGGCCATATTTTGTAACCTTGATATGCTATGATGACTTTGTGCCTGACCATTTTTGGCTCTGTGTTATGGCATGGCATTTTGTTTGTCATCACAGGCTATGGGTCTTCTGGTGATGACTGACCTTACACTGGAAACCCGTCCTTGTGCAATGGAATATTTAACTGTCGCCTACAGTGTCAGTTTCGACCAAGACTTTCTAGCAGGTAAGAGACACAGGGTTTAAATGCTACCGTGTTGTTTTGTGTTTTAATCTACAGAACATGGGCCTGCTGGTGATGACAAACCTTGTTGTAGAAACACGACCATGTCAGAGGCAAGTCCCATACTGGAGAGGGCGTTTTGCAATGCCAGGTAATTGTGGAACTGAAATTGTCTGTACAGTAGTAAGCACAAAATTGGTCAACTGAAAGGTCAACTAACTAACTAAGAGGGGCAGGGCACCATATAGCACTTAATGCACTTGCATGTCAGTGTTTGTAGATGGAGATGGTGGTTGCATAGATTAAAATACGATTTTGGAGGCATACTATGCTGTCCTTTGTATGATAGAAGACACAGTGGTTGCTGTTTTGCCCACTGAGCCTTTCAACAATGCAACTCACCAGACAACTGAAACCTGTGTTGTATTTGCTTTGTCCAAACAAGTGGATGTCTTTGATGAATAATTGTAATAAGTTCTAGGTGCTCCAGGTCCAGCTGCTCCTGAAATAGCTTTTGCTGCACCAGTTGGAGTTGCTCCTGCTCCTGCCCCAGCTCCGATACCAGCTGCAGCAAAACCTGCAAATGAGGAGAAAGTCGTTGAAGTCCGTAACTACTTCCCTGAAACCTGGATCTGGGAAACAGCACATGTCAGGTACCATCAATTGCTTTTCTTCTTTGTACTTTTCCAGGAGGAAGGAGAGGGCCTATAGCACAGCCTATGGTTAATGTTAGACTCTTCAATGCTCCTGTTGCAATGGAAATTCAACCAAAGTCTGTCGAGGACGAGGTCGACTCGAGGATTGAAATGGAAACACAACAGGTCGTGGAAGTGCGGAACTACTTCCCAGAAACATGGCTGTGGAAGGTTACTAGTGTCAGGTACAACAGCTCATTGGTAATGTGGCTCATCACAAAAAAGTGAAGCTCGGGCTGCTTTTGGCGTACAAAAGCAGAACTTATACTTTCAGGTGTTTGGAAACTCTTATTGTTGTTTCATACCTAGGAAAGAAGTTATTCCTATATACCTAGGAAAGAAGGTGTTATTACTATTAGCCCATGAAAACCTATTACTTCCATGAACCAACCAAGCATAAATGTTTGTATTCCCTGTAGTTCAAGCCACAAAATGAACACTTGCATACTGCATTCTGGTACCACTCTTTGCAATGAAAGTTCATTCATCTTATAACCTTAGGCCAGCCATGTTTTGTTTGTGTGTTTTCACATATAATGCCTTTCATGTACATCACTTCAGCCAACCCAGCTCGAAAAAATATCTACTTCTGTTAGGATTGTTGAATTACCTGTCAACTCTGATGCAGCAAAATGCGTCAAAAATTATTGAGTGCACAAATGACTGGTTACAGTAGCTGTCTTTGGTATCCTGGATGCATAAACCAACTTGAAAAACAGGGATGGCATAAAGACTGAATGTAATAGTAATATGTTTGTTCTTTTCAGTGATAATGGCTTGGCAGTGATTGATGTCGAGGTGCCACACACTATAACTGAATGGATTGGGAGTGGTTTCTGTACAAGTAGTGCTGCTGGTGTGGGTGTGTCTCCAGCTACAAGCCTCACGGTAACATTTGTACATTTCTAATGATTCTCTTCATATGTACACTATGTGCTACTAGGTACAGTGTACTTCCACCTACCAAAGGGGGGTGATCAAGTAAGGTACATGTAGGTTAAAAGGCTCAATAGTCAAATTTTGCTGCCAGTCACTGCAAGCCTATACACAGTACATGTAGTAGTAGGCTTGAGAACGAAGTCATTACAAAAGGCATGCAGTATTTATTTATTTTATTCACATTTATTTTCTGAGGATGAGGCAAAAAGTTATAAAACTTATCTCAGCCCTCTCCTCACACATAAAAGGATACAATAAAACAAAGTAATAATAATAATAAGAAATGACAAGGGTACATAGTAGGCTGGTGTACAAATCAAAATGAATCAACTAGATCAAACAAAACGTCCTGTCTGCAAAATAAAGTTGAAAACCACATCAAATATGTTACAGTTGTTGACAAACGACAATGAGGGGTTACCCCTGAGAATGGTTGAACATAAAGTGTTGTCGGTGACGTTGTTTGTGTCAAATGGCAGAATGTTAGTTAGAGATGATAACATGTCAATGCGTTCGTCAGTGTACAGTGGGCAGTGTAGGAAGTAGTGTACAGCTGTTTCGTTGAAGTGACCACATTTGCACGCAGGACTGGGCACACATTGATGTTGGAACAGGTGAAAGTTTAACTGACTGCGGTTGAGTCTGAGTCTGGTAAGGTGGATAGCTGGGTTTCTCGGACCGTGGGAGAAGTGAGGTTGAGTGTGAGGGCTGTGATAAAACGTCTCCAACTCTTTTTTAAAGATGACAATTGATGTTGATGCTCGTGTAGTTAATGGCAAGTTATTCCAGGAAACAATGGAAGTAGGCAGAAAAGATCTTTTGAATTTCTCAGTTCTAGCAGGAATTAAGACGTAATTCTGATCAGTACGGAGACTGTAGGGGGTGGAGTCACGGGTTTGTAGTGGTACCAATTCCTGTAAGTATTTTGGTGCTAATTCTTTGATAATTTTATAAAAGTTTACAAGTTTATGCTTTTGACGCCTACATGACATGGTTTCCCAGCCAACCTCAGACAAGATGCTATTACTATTTGTTCCTCTCATTGCGCCAGTACATATCCGAGCTGCATTGAGTTGAACAGATTCAATTAAGTCAGAGTCTTTACCAGTTAATCCGTCCCAAACAACGTCGGCATACTCCAGTAATGGCCTTATCATTACTTTGCATGCAGTATTTCAACAAGAATGGCTATTCACATCATTATACCAATTGAAAGCAACAACAAAGAAGAGAAGCTGTTACATTTAGTAACTAGTAGAAGGCGTTTAACCATTGTTGATAACATTGTGACATGACTGACACTTTCCATTATTTCTGTTCCCATGAATTTCTGCAGGCTTTCCAACCATTCTTTGTATCCACCACTCTTCCCTACTCTGTGATCAGGGGTGAGGAGGTACCACTCAAAGTTTCCATCTTCAACTACATGCAACAGTGCCAAGTGGTGAGTCCTGAGCATTGTCACACTATTTTCCCTTTAGACTATCCTTAAAAGCTCATTACACACAGCCCATTTTGGCTTCCTAACAACTTGAAATATCCAGTCTATGACCTGAAATTAGTCTTGAGAAGTTGACTGTATACTTGGCCAGGTAAATTGTCATAAAAAGTTCCAGTTTATAACAAGTCTTATGTAGCCAGGAAAGTAAAGTGTTCTAAGCAGTCAGGAGGGAATCTTTCAGTAGTTAGGAACCATGAGGAAGTCAAACAGTAAAAAAAAACAGGGGTGTCTTCCATCCCTGATAGACTTGTGTTTTGAAAATGTTGTAATGATTTTTTTTCTTTCTATGCTACAGATTAAGTTGACACTACTGAAGTCAGAGGACTTGGATTTGATTGACAAGGACAGGACACGTCAGGTGTGTGTGTGTCCTGTGGTGTCCAAGACCGAGACGTTCAACATCATCCCAAGGATGCTGGGGAAGATCAACATCTCCGTGGTGGCTGAGGCTGTGGAGGATGATGAACTGACATGTGGGAACGCCCCAGTCATCAAGCCCACTGAGGGAGCCAGGGACGCCATTGTTAAGGAGCTTCTGGTCGAGGTAGTGCAGACAAAATTTTAGATTTCCTACAGCAGAGCGTCAGATTCCCTTTCAAGATTACCTATCAGTTAAATCTAGTAGTACCCTAAAATGTAGCAAAATTGCCAGAAAATTATCTCAATATACATTTCAAGGTCATTAGTAAATGGACCAGAAGGTTATTGAATTGTATATGCATCAATGAGGAGAAAAATAACAAAAATGTTTTTCTTTCAACAGCCAGAGGGTATTGAGCAGGAGTACACCTACAGCTCATTCTTCTGCCCCAAAGACTTCCCTAATGAACAGCTAGAAGACACCATCAAGACTGTCCTGCCTGAGAATCTGGTGGAGGGCTCCAACAGAGCCTATCTGTCTGTCATTGGTCAGTACCTGTTACTGTAAAACAACTGTGATTTTAGATTGAGGTCCTTTGAAGTTTCCGTGTTTGTTGAGAGTTCTTTTGCTTCTGAGGGGTCAAATTCTGCAATTTCTGATTTCTGTTTTTGCAAGAGCTGTTTATAGAAATGTACATTGTATATTTTACATAGCATTATTTTAAGGAATAATCCATTTTACACAGTGGGAACCAAACAAAAGTAGTGGAACATGAATGTAAAACCATTACAAATGTATCAAGTTTGTCAATCTCTGAATGCCCCCAGGTGACCTGATGGGCCCCACCCTGTCTGGTCTGGACAACCTTGTGCGTCAGCCGACCGGGTGTGGCGAGCAGAACATGGTTCTGTTTGCTCCCAACATCTTCGTCATGCAGTACCTGAACACAACCAAACAGCTCTCCTCTGAAATCAAGGACAAGTCTTTGGAATACATGAAGATTGGTTAGTTTTAGTTAGCCTCCTGTTATACATAAGATGACTTGCTCATACTATGACGACTGCATTGGCATTTATGTGTCAGATACATGTATGAATTTTCTTCACATTAAACAAATGTTTATTTACATTAGCTATAGATATAGATACATGTAGAATGCATTTGAGAGAGAAATCAAGTATTAGATACATAGTTACTTGAATTCTCACAATGTAGCTGCCTGTTGTCAATGCATATCACTCGTTCTCATTCAAATGTACAAAATGCTGTCGCCACTCTTTACGACTAGGTATGAGCCAAATCATGGACCTCATGATTTGGCTAATCATGGACCTCATCGTTGCTTTCTTAACTTTCCCACTACATTTACTATGTTTCACGAAAAATGTACCACAAACCTAGGTTTGATTGATGACTTGAGAGAAATTATGGTCGCGTATTGGATTTCTCCCCCTAAAAAGCGGCTGTCGCCTAAGGCGAAATAGAAACTTCAAAAAGCAACCTAAAACGTAGCAATTTGATTACGGCAGTAGTTTTCTGCCTGGTGAAGTCGGATGGCCAGGTACTCTGACTGATCAAGTCAGATCGCTCCTGTCACTATTCCTGTACGTCGTGCGAGGTGGTTCATACCTGTCGCCATGTTTTGTAACATCCGTTACCGCTCAAGTAAGACGGTCGTGCAGTTTAGACAGAGTCACATATAAGACAAGAAATTGCCATTTTTATGACTTTTAGCAAGTTTTCTAGATTTCTAAGAGAAGAAGAAAAGAGTGTGTGCTGTCATTTGTAGCCACCTTCGCTGAACAAATTGTTTTACAGTAATGAATGTAACATCCGTTACCGTTGTTTTTATTTTCAATTTTATTTTTTTCACCTGGTATATAAAAAGTCGCCCAGTTTTAAAATGCCCGTACTTATGCCCCCTTGTTCTCAAAGGATGAAGATAAAAACTGCAAATCTTCTTGGAGAAATAAACAAAAACGTCCGTTTTGTAACATCCGTTACCGGTAACGGAAGTTACACCTGTAGCGGAAAAGACGTAACAAGAGACTGACTTTCCCTTCCCTTTGCACCATAAACATAATAGTTGGAAATAAAGTAGAAAAAATATGGACCCGGAGAAAAATAACCCTCTGTGGCGTCAACAGACTCAAATGTTCTACTCTTCTTTGCTTCCAAAGATATTTTTGCTACTGCTATACACTACACTTAGCTATCTTTATGTGTTCGATACGTGTATATTTACCAGTTAATAATGGGTTGACAGATGTACTTTCATAGATACTGACGCCTAAACTAATGGCTTTTGAGGTGATGTCAAGAATACAAGCTTTATGGTACACCCAATTCATGCTGATGTTCCAGCGTTTTTGCCACACTAAAATTGCATTGTTTATATATGTCTTATCTAAGTGCATAAATTTTTGGCAAACTTCCCATGGTAATTAAGCTGTCCTTTTTTGGTAATCATTAATTGAGATGTTCTCCTAAAAAATAAGGTAGGTTTGCCTGAAAAAACAGATCATCGATTTTACGACCCAAAAAATCACCATTTTGTACATTTCAATGAGAACGAGCCATATGAGCTACCAGGGATAGGGATAGTCACTGTACTGGTATTTCACTTCATTATGTCTTGAGGGTTACGATGATAACATATTTGATAATTGATAGTTCCCACCAATCCCAATTTACAGAATAACATTGTGATTTGATTCTTGAAACCACTGATCTTTCTTTGCAGGTTACCAAAGAGAGTTGACCTACAAGCACAAGGATGGCTCATACAGTGCCTTTGGAGAAAGTGATGATTCTGGCAGCACCTGGTAGGTTATCATGATCCTTATTGTTCAGTGTCACATACTAAATTTGTGTACCGGTAGATTGTACAGTACCAGTACCAGTGAAAACAACATGTCATGCTTTTTCATTTTATTTTACCCAAATTCAGATTTGTAACAAACTCATAATTTTTTTCCAGGTTGTCTGCCTTTGTCTACCGTTGCTTTGCCCAAGCTCGTCCATACATCTTCATCGATCAGAAAGAACTGGACCACACCAAGAAGTGGTTTGCAGCCAACCAGAAGCCAGATGGTTGCTATCAGTCTGTTGGGAAAGTCCTGCACAAGGCCATGAAGGGAGGTGTGAATGATGACACCACGTTGACTGCCTACATTGTCATCGCCATGCTGGAAAGTGGGGAATCTGTTGAGGTGCTGATCTGTCCATTCTCCCCATGGGAAACTTCTAACCCTCAACAAATAGAGAATACAGTATGCTGAAGGTTAAGCTTGCATGCAGTGTTGATTTCATTGATGACCTAACTATCTCTGAAGGCCTAGATACAATTAGAGAGTGTGAAAAGAAGTCTGTTCTAAAGAAGAGCAAGATGCCAAAGCAAAATGTATTGATTTTGGAACTGAAGAATCACTTGGAAACATTGGAACAATGTTGAAAAAGAATCATTCATAAAGCAAAAAGCTTATATGACATATTGAATGTTGTACATGTACCGTACAAACCTGCTTCTGTTCTCGCTTTTCAGTCAGAGCTTGTTGGAAATGCCCTGGAGTGCCTTCTGGCTAGTGCGAGCAATGTGACCA